GACAGAAAGATTCTCAGTGGATTGGTCTCCCAATGTCCATGGATCATGATCATTAAGGAGAACCTCCAAATTCAGGAGCATTATACCTCTGTGTAACAGACACTAGGGACACAGGAAAATGGTTTGTGCCCTGCTTGTGCAGCTGCTGTTAGAATGCCCAGCTGAATGGGCTCTTTGGTTCAAGGCAGTTAAGGAGTTCTCGCGTTGTTAATGTCTCTCCAGTGTTGTTAATGTCTCTCCAGAAATGTGCACGACAAATACACTTCTAAGGAAGCAAAGACTCTGATGCGGGGCTCCTAACCTATCAGGGCTATTTTTGGGCAGGAACGCACAGGAACGGAGTTCCGGCTGGCTCCCAAGTTGGCCACGCCCAGCAGGAACTCATTAGCATAATAGGCCTCACCCAACAGCAGAAACTCATTAGGATTGTCTCTGGGTGTGTGGCCTAACATGCAAAGGAGTTCCTGCTACAAAAAAAGGCCCTGGGTTTTGACAACAAACAAGGTCAACAGAACAACAAGCAAAAGGTGGGTGTGGCTGGGTGACCACCCTTTTCCACACTTCTGGTAACATGGGGGTGTGGCCTAATGTGCTAATGAGCTGTGCTGTCAGGGGTGTGGCCTAATATGCTAATGAGTTCCTGCTGTTGGGTGTGGCCTATTATGCTAATGAGTTCCTGCTGGGCTTTTTCTACAAAAAGAGCCCTGCAACCTATCATTTGTTGGCACTACCTTATTCTTGTTACAAACCACGTTGTGAACGTGAAAAGATTCTTGCCAGAGGTCCAGGGAAGCCCGAGCCCCTACCCCTAGTAAAAAAATAACTACGGTGATATGCTTAAAAACAAGTGATTAAATGTATGCCAAAAATTCACAAGTACCTAACTGTGGGGTTCCTTTGAGCATGTGGCCAGGACAAATATCTCTCCTCCCCCCCCACCCACCCCGGTGGCACTGTTGGCACTCTACTTACACTTTTCCGGGCCTAGTGATGAAGCACAGTGAGTAGAGGCCAAATTCAAATTCGGGGCTGCTTCCAATGAAGGCTGATCCAACTTCCTTGTAAGAGCCATCCCAGCTGAACTGCAACCCCAGCACGTCTGGATATGAGGTCCACTGAACAGTAAAAGCAACATTTGGGAATGTGAATGGTAATTCTTAGGAACGATTCAGAATTACAGAAATCGAACCACAGCCAGGCCCACAAACATTGTGCCAACTACATATTACAGAGTGGTTATGTACACTTAAAAATGTAGTAGATAAATCAATGCTACAAAGGCATAGTTATTCAGTCAGCAACACTCAGTATACACTTTAAAATATATCTAAACAATCAGTCAAATTATTGCTCCCTATAGCTTACATAATACAAAATATATAGAATTCAGGTTACCATATATTATAGGGTACTGCTTATCTAAAGGTAAAGGTTTCCCTTGCTCGAAAGCCAGTTGAATCCGACTCTAGGGTGTGGTGCTCATCTCTGTTTCCAAGCTGAAGATCCAGCGCTGTCCAAAGACATTTCCGTGGTCATGTGGCCAGCATGACTAGACACCAAGGCGCAAAGAACGCTGGTACCTTCCCACCATATTTAACCAGATTTTCCTTCTATTAATAGCCATCCAGCTGTATTTTGCCACGTTAAAAGTAATTCCCCTGGTCCTATTGGCTAATATTATTAAAAGAGAGTCCCTTCTATCTTTGCCCGGCAGGCTATCAATTATGGGCTTAATATATATTTCCCTGATATGCGCATATATTTTACAATCAAAGAGGACATGCACTAGCGACTCAACACTACCATCTCCATACAGGCAATTCATTAGCCAAGCCTTCGTTCTTGTTGTTGTTGTTAGCCATTCAGTCTTGTCGGACTCTTGGGGCGATTTCACACTAGAGCTTTATTTATTTATTTAGATTTTTATCCCGCCCTCCCCGTAGGCTGCCTCGCGGCGCAGCCGCCGTTTGCCCCGACACAAACATGTCAATTTCACACACGAAGCTGAGAATACTGGAAAGAAAATGGCGAGAAACCGCGGGTCAAATGCAGCTCCGCAGCCTCAGGTGTGAAATTGACATGTTTGTGTCAGGGCAAACGGCGGCTGCACCGCGAGGCAGCTCTAGTGCAAAATCGCCCTTGGTGATTCTACGGGCCAGCTCTCTCCACGTTTTCCGATCTTATACTGTTTCAAGTACCGCTTACCACTGGACAACACTAGGTGGCAGACTAAAGTAGCACTTTATAGGCCACAGCAAAGTCTGAGCAGAGCAAAGTGGCCCGGTTGTTTCGTCAGGATGAACAAGCAGGGGTCCAACAACTTCATTAGGGTTACCAGGTGTCCTATTTTTAGAGGACATGTCCTCGTTTGGGCTCATTCTTTAAAAAGCTGATGAAAATGTCCTCTTTTTGGGTTGGGAGGCTGAGCCTGTTTTGCCTTGTAGTCCCCCCCAATGGAGGCAAGCTCCAGCTGAAATAGTTAGGGGGCATTTAAAATGGGATTTGTCACAGCGATCGGTTGTCTGAAGTAGTCAGTCGGGAAATATATGTGTGTGTCCCTTTTTTTTTTTTTTTTTTTTTTTGTTTTTTGGAGTATTATAGGAACCTTTACCTTTACTTAGGCCGGAAGGGAAGGATCGGGGACGGGTGCACGCCAATTCCCAGATGTTGCGGTGTGCTCACTGTCCGAAGACGTTTCCGTGGTCATGTGGCCGGCATGACTAAACACCAAGGCGCACTGAACGCTGTTACCTTCCCACTGAAGTGGTCCCTATTGATCTACTTGCAATTTCTTGCTTTCGAACATAAGGAAGAGGCCCGGAGGAAGGAGTGGGTCGGGAGTCCCAGCCTGAGTGGAATGAAGACACCGGTGAGGCCTGAACAGGTAAGCTGGAGTGAAACTAAGGTTGCCAACACTGGGCTGGGAAATTCCTGGAGACATGGGGGTGGATCTTAGGGAGGGTGGGGTTTGAGAAGGGGAGGGCCCTCTAGGGGCTATACTGCCAAGATCCACCCCTCCACTTACATCTGCTGGATGACCTTGGGCAAGCCATAGTTCTGTCAGAGCTGTTCTTGGGGAAAAAGAGCAGTTTCTGTCAAGAGCTCTCTCAGCCCCGCCTACCTCACAGGGTGTTTGTTGTGGGGAGGGGAAGGGAAAGGAGTTTGTAAGCCGCTCTGAGACTCTGAGTGAAGGGTGGGGTATAAATCCAATCTCCTCCTCTCCTCCTCTCCTCCTCCTCCTCCAAAGCAGCCATTTCCTCCAGGGGGAGTGAACCCCCCCCTCATCTGGATACCAGCTGTAATTCTGGGAGACCTCCGGCTCCAACGTGGAGGCTGGCAACACTATTTTAAACTCAGGTCTTGGAGGGCGATGCCAGCTGCAGTGAGAACTAAAGGAAAGGATGTCGGGCCCCAGGTTTTCTCTTCCTTCCCCCTTAAAAAGGTGACAGTGAGATTAGCTCACTCCACCCGATTCTTCCCCTTTCCCCTGCAGGAGAAGGCCCCCGCCACACACACACACACATGTTGCTCTAGGCAAGTGTTCAGAGTTCATGGGATTTCCCTTAAAGCCCTGAAAAACAGGAGGACTGCAGAGGATCAGACACGATCAAATTTGACAGCATCTCTGCAATGTCACAGTGCTCCCCTATTGACCAGAGCTGTTGGCACATCTCTGAAAAAGTACTCCCTTCGACTTCCGAGACAGCTTTGATCATCCCCTAGAGCAGTGATGGGGAACCTTTTAGAGACCGAGTGCCCAAACTGCGACCCAAAACCCACTTATTCATCACAAAGTGCCAACACGGCAATTTAACCTGAATCCTGAGGTTTTACTTTAGAAAAAACAACTCATACATTAACTTAAGATGATCCAAACAAAGTAAGGAAAGCAATCCCAAATGCTTTCATTTACTTAAAATTATTTGGCAGAGAATTTGACACTTTAATGATGGTCTGGGCCTGGCTGGGGCGATGGCACGCGTGCCCACAGAGAGGGCTCTGAGTGCCACCTCTGGCACCCGTGCCATAGGTTCGCCACCACTGTCCTAGAGCATCTGGAAGGCCATCCGCATACAACCCGGTACTCACCGGACCATCATAGTTGTGGCTGAAATAGTTGAGGTGGCCTTGTTTCTCCTGTAGATAGAAACTAATCCAGTTGTGGAATCCAGACACTTTGCCATTCTTGATTTCTCCTAAGTGGTAAAGAGTATGTTCCTTTTATTTATTTGATTTCTAGACCGCCCTCCCCCAGAAGGGCTCAGGCTGGTGTACATCATGCTTAAAACATACAATTCTTGGGTAAAACATCAGCAATCAGTCATTAGTCAGAACAAAACCATTGATGTATGTCGTTTCTTCCTCCGTGGGGCATGTCATGAGCTGGATGCATTGGAAAACCGTTGCTGTCCTCAACCGTAGGCCTGGGGGAACACCTCTGTCTTGCATGCCCTGTGGAACTCTACTGGGTTCCACAGGGTGAGGATGTCTCCAGGCAGAGAGTTCCACCAGGCAGGAGCCAGGGCTGAAAAGGCCTTGGCTCTGATCAAGGCCAGCCGGACAGCTTTTGGGCCAGGGATCACCAGTGGGTTCTGATCTTGTGAGTATAAGGTTCTTCGGGGGACATACCAGGAGAGGTGGTCCCGTTGGTACGTTGGCCCCAGACCTTTTAGGGCCTTAAAGATCCCAGCTTTAAAGGTCGTTATGAAACTGGGACTACAGCTCCGTAAAAGAGCCTCTGCTTTACACGCAGAAGATCCCAGGTTCGATTCCCAGCATCTCCAGTTAAAAGGACCAGGCAGCAGGTGATGTGAAACCCTCTACTGGAACCCCTGGAAAGCTGCTGCCAATCAGACTAGAGAACAGCGACCTGGAGAGGCCGGTGATCTGACTCAGGGTAAGGCAGCTGTTGTTTTCGTTATGCTACCATTTATACCACTGCGAAACATGTGCATTTGAAGGGTGTTTCCAGCCAAGGACGACAAATGATTCTCTCTTCTTCTTTTTCTAAGGCGCTTTTCTTGTCCTCTGTCATTTGGCATTATTCCTCTATACACAACTGTGTATTATGGAGTCCTCGTGCAAGAGGAAGGCAGCCTTTTCTTAACCTGAGCACCATCCACTTGTCCACAGTATTGGGGGGAGAGGGTACCTTGGGCAAACTGACAAAAAGTTTCCCTCCCCTCTCTGGACCTCACCAATGAAATTGACAAGCCCGGTCAGTTTCACATTGCTTCTCAGGAGAGGTCAGTTTCAACACCTTTTTGAGAAGAAGAGGAAGAGGAGGAGGAAGAGGAGGAGGAAGAGGAGGAGGAAGAGGAGGAGGAAGAGGAGGAGGAAGAGGAGGAGGAAGAGGAGGAGGAAGAGGAGGAGGAAGAGGAGGAGGAAGAGGAGGAGGAAGAGGAGGAGGAAGAGGAGGAGGAAGAGGAGGAGGAAGAGGAGGAGGAAGAGGAGGAGGAAGAGGAGGAGGAAGAGGAGGAGGAAGAGGAGGAGGAAGAGGAGGAGGAAGAGGAGGAGGAAGAGGAGGAGGAAGAGGAGGAGGAAGAGGAGGAGGAAGAGGAGGAGGAAGAGGAGGAGGAAGAGGAGGAGGAAGAGGAGGAGGAAGAGGAGGAGGAAGAGGAGGAGGAAGAGGAGGAGGAAGAGGAGGAGGAAGAGGAGGAGGAAGAGGAGGAGGAAGAGGAGGAGGAAGAGGAGG